ACACACACACACACACACACACACACACACGTAAGAGAAAAGAAAAACTAGGAAAAACATGAATTCCTCACCTCCGTTTTCTTATTCCCCCAAACGTAACCTCCTGAATAAGGTCAAAACTGACCATTTAGGTTTGGAGAAATGCTCATCACATACGATTTTCATTTCAGTATGACTGATATTGAGCTCCATTGGTGATTTCAACTTTGTAATCCTTACGATTATTTGTAGCCCAAACAGCAAGACCACATTTGCTACAATAGAAACTGCCATGTATCAGGTGTACATTCAATTATGATTCATTCACACACACACACACACACACACACACACAACAAAGCAACATATGAATATGTAATAAAAATAATTTCACTATCCAAATACAGGATTGGATGAGGCAGGATAACATATAATACAACAAAATCTATGCTGAATTCCAGGTTTACCAGGAAGAGTAAAGAAAAACAAACATTTAAAAAGGTAGGACATTTCACTTTTAATAGTCAAAAAAGAAAAGAGTTCCGGACAATGTCAAACTCCACACACAATAGAGCTATAGTTACACATTAAATATAATTACTATCTATACATATGCAAAAATATAAAGTTCTATTTCATACAGTAAAACCCTTTATAGAAACCATTTTAAAATTAAGCATAACTTCTCAACTTATATGTGAGGTATAAGTCCTTCTAAATAGGTTCCTTTAAAGGTTTTAAAACAAAATGCTAAATCTAAAAACAATATTCTTCGGTCAGTTCCCAAATTAAATCTACTTAAACAAAAATTGATAGCTCAGTCACAAACTCCTTTAATATTGTTCAGGCATCTCTAAAAATCCTCCATGTTTTTCAAGTATGGAAATAGAACTCAAAATATTCCACAATACAGAACTAAACAGATGGACTATTTAGGAAAGAGATTTTGTTATCCTATGGCACAATATTATTTCTTTAATATGTTTTGAAATAAATATAGCTTTGTTTTGTGTTTCTCCTAAAAGGCCAAAATTATAATCTATATTAAGGATACATCTGACTGTGGTAAGACTTCAGAGTGAAAATTAACATCATCAATATTGTATCACAAAAGTAAAGCTGGTGACAAATGATGAAAGGAGCCAGGACTCTACTCAGATGCACCCAGGGATTAAAGCTCCTCGTGATAGAAATGTTCATCATGCAGCTGTCGGCCGTAATCTGTGGCCTCACTGGTGAGAAACAAGTCCTGGTTCTCCAGGATCTCTGCCTCTGAGAGCTTTCTGTCACTGTTCAGGTCCATTTCATCAAGGAGATGAAGAGCCTTTAAAACAAAACAAAAAGGTGTCAAGTGTAACAAGTGTTGGGTTGTTGGAAAAGTCATGACACATTTTTGCAACGAAAAACATAGAAAAAAATACGTTATGACTTTTCCAACAACCCAATATTTTCAGCAAGTTGTTTGCATTTTCACGTGATGAGGTTTACCCAAGCCATTCAGGTGCGCACAGTACTCGCTTCCTGGGTATCTGAAAATATCACACATTGCACCCGGACTGCTTACAGCTGCTCTCATTCTCTCCTTTCTTCATTCCCGCTGGGTTCTGCCTCCTTCCAACTCAAATCTGATTTGGGATATCTCAGAGTTAAACAAAATTCATCTCACTCATTTTGAGTCCCTATAGGTAGACACAAACTTTTATTGTTGCATTCACCGTCCTACCAAATTAATACATGACTCTGTCTTAATTTAACTTCCTTGTCTCCTTGACTGTTTAAAACAGTTCATAGATTGAAATCAAGAAATGGCAACGTACTGACCCTAAATAAGTAACTCCGTCACTTCTCTCTTTGGCTGACAATCTGGAAGCGCCTTTCCTGTCAGTAGCCCCCACGTGCGGGGCGGGGAAGTCATTCTGGGAGCTCACCTCCTCCTGTGCAATCCCCTGGTTGTTGGGCACCACCCAAGCCAGCAGCTCTTGGGGATCCAGCCTGCCATCGGTGTCTTTGTCATAGTCGTTTAGGAATCTGTCTTTTTCAACAAGTATCCATTCTGGGTCTTCATTTGCTGCTTAATATATAAAAAACAAACAAAAAAACACCACACACACACACACACACACATACATGAATACACACATACAAATATACATACACAAGAACACCACACATGTATCCAATAAGTACTTTGATATATCCCTAGAATACAGGGAGTGAATATAAAGCTTACTACATGAAGGATGCCCAAAGAAACAGAAATACTGAAAAGTGCTAAAATAAGTACAAACTATATAGTAATTTTCAAAGGTGACACATAGGTCTGAACAACTCCGAGTTTTTAACTCGTTGCCTATTATCACAAACTGGTAATTCTGTTAACTGCTGCTACTTGTTCTACTATCTAGTTTCCCCAAATTTGAGCTGGGTAATGTGTTTATGTCTATCATGTAACTATAAAAGCTTCCTACATGCTCTTCCTATCAAGTAGTGTCATGTGTAATTTTAAAGTGACATTCACAATCAGGGGTGTGCTTTTTCTGCAACAATTCTCAAAAAAAGACGGCTGCTAATAGGAAAAAAGTCTGCTTATACAAACTCCTCTAATTTCAAACATGCAGTAAGTCACCTTCCACAGTCCACACCGGTGTTTACTATTTCTTTTTTAAGATCTACATGCAATGATACAGAATTTTGTTTAAAACTATCAACTTTTACTTCTTCCCTCGTTACTTTTCATGATTGCATTATGTGTCTGAATCTAGCAATGGAGCTGAGGTGAGCAAAAGCTTTCTCAGGTCAACTGTAAGTCCCTCTGCTTTGCCGATATTACATGTAACTTGGCAGAACAAGTAGAAATCCAGCAAATTCTTCTTGTTCCATTTTCCTTGTCACACAGAGCTCTCAAGGAACAAGACTTTCTTTCAACTTCTTTCTTGAATTCCACCTCCCCCTTTTGTACCCCCAGGCTACTTACTTGGGTCCCGCCTGTAGTCACCAAGAAATTCTTCCAAACTAACAAATCCATCACCATTTTTGTCATGTTCTTCTAAAGCCTCTTGAATAACAAATTCCTATCACATGTTCATAAAAAAAAATAATAATAATAAAAATTAGTAACAAAATTGTCAATTCTACCACCACCTGAATCACTCCTACTACAGAACTTCTCTAGGAATAATTTGACTGTCTTATGCCTGGAAGGTAATCCTTCTAAACATTGGAATTTAGAAGCAGGAATAAAATCCCAAATATTCAATAACTTTATTAGGCTTCTGCTGTTCAGAACTTCACTTCAGCCCCCAAACAACCTCGGCACTGAACAAATGCTCCCATGTTCTGAACGTTCCTTCCCTCTCAAGAATGACATCGCTTTACCTCCACTTTCCCGACAATCCATTCACCACCCAGAACCCTGACCTGAGATCTCTTTGCAGAGAACTGTTGTTCTACCTCCGGATGGAAATGTGTCTGCATCCCCAAAAACTCAACCTCCTTGCTTCCCCTCCCACCAAACCAACCCCCAAAGCTGCTCTCCCTCTTACCAAGGCTTCTCACCAACCAGTCCATCTGTCGAACCCAAAGGTCACCCTCTGCCTGGCTGGCTTGACCCAAGCCACCGTTTCAAGGCCAGCTGCCCCAGTATTTCCCCAGCACCTCCTACACCTTCTTGTACCCCGCTCTTATTAGGCCAATCCCCACTCAGTACAGATCCACATCACTCTCTCCTTTATTCCAGTTATAAAGTCTAAAGGAAATACAAAAATATAAGCCGAGTCCTTAGAACTTTTTTGGCCATTTCAGTGGGATCTCACTTCAGCGTCGAGGTTGTCCCTGCCTCAGTTTCCCTAACACACACCCTAGAGCTGTTTTTTGGAACCTCCACTTTCTTTCAGCCTTACCACAACTCGCTCCAACAGCCTTGGCAAAGACACCCTGTCCGGGGTTTCCCAGCGTGGTCCAGTTCCTCTGAGATGCCGCGTTTACCAGTGCTGCCTCTCACCTCGAGGGACCTCTACTTTGAGGCCCATTCCTGTCATCCTGCTCTTTGGTCTCAAGAGTTACAGCTGCCTGTCATGTCTTCTCTAGGTCGAAGCCCACAGTTGTTGTCCTCGACTCCATACTTTCCCATCTCCTGAGCACTGCCTCTCACCCTGAACTCTGGCCTCTCCCACCGCTTCAGTCTTTTCTCCGTCAGCTGATGCTTCTGTGCCTTGAAGCACAGTTCAAGTTCCCCTGAGTTTGCTGCACTGTTGAGCTACCATCTTGGTTCCTGTTCTTCTTTGCCTCGCCCCTCACAGGTCAGTTACTGAACTCGTTTCATCACTATGTGCTGCTACGGGAATATCTTTCAGTCCAAATGGCAGCATCACAACTGTAACAAAAATAAGTCTCAACAGTCCACTTCTAGCCAGATCTAATCTGCATGAGATGACACTGAAATACAAGATGTGGGTTTTCTAAGTATTTCAGATTTCATGTATAGAAATCAGGAAATCTTAATCTGGAGATCCAAAGATTGGTTTTAGAGGGAGAATCTATTGAAATTATAATCCAGTATTTGATGTGTACAAGCATATGTGATTTTTCTGGGGCGGAGTGCACACTTGGCATATTTTTAAAGGAGTCTGTGATCTAATAAAAAGAATCACTGATGAAAATGATTATTTCTCTTGGGAAATGAGACTTTTTTCAATAATGCTGCCATGGTTAAACTGTTTTTTGGAACTACATGAATGAAAATATCTTTAAATTTCTGACTTTTAATGCAAAGTAGAATCACTTAGTTGATCTTGTACCCTTGCCTTTTTCTATATCCAGTCTACCCTGACAGGGAAGATGGGTCACACAGAGGCAATCAAAGTAAGCTTCTGTGCGACCAGCAGGCCAGCGCGGCACCATCAAAGGGCATCCTGGCACACCCTCCTTCATAGTGTTGCACAAGTTCGGAGCCTGAGTCCTGTCTGACTCTCCCCTTCCCACGTGATGTAGTCAGCCAACATTCCTGCTAGTCTTTCTCCGCGGCGTTGGCCAGGCCTGTCACTGCGGTGCCACATCGTGCTCCAGACCACAACACATAACGCCTACATTGTTTCGTCGCTTTCACTGGTCGTTCCCCTCCTCAGTCTTCAACTGCTCCTTATTTCCCAAAGATCCAGAATCCTGTCTGCCAGACAGGCCTCCATTAGCTTGTCTGAACTTAATTTTGGCACTCAATCAAATTGTGCCCGGCACTGTTTGTAAACTAGGTCATGTATTTTGTGCCAAGTTAGAAGTCAGAGGCCTAACAGTGGCGAGAGAAATGGCGTTGAAGGTGGTGCCTTCCTCATCTGACCACGACCCATTACACCAATTACATGGAGAGCCACACCTTCCCTCCCTGAAATGCCCAGAGCACAAAGCCTCACAGCTGGAGGCCGAGGCCAGGCAACAGACCTCAATGTATGCATGGTCTGTCTTGTAAAACTATTTTGTTATATGAATCTTTACCCTCCAATATGATAATTTCTGCTCTCAAGAATCTTGCCAAGCCATAGTAGGAACTCAATCAACGCCGGTTGAGTTAAACCTAGAGTGCGTGTAACAAACTGGAGAGCTGGTACTTCTTTGATGTACCACAGGGATGACAGGACTCTTTACGCCTAAAGTTGCAAAACATTGTTAGTCATTAGTGGCTGTGCTGTACCTTACCAACCCCTCACGAAAAGGGATCCAAGCGTGACACATTTTCCAAGACTGTTTTCCCAAGTGATGGTGTAAACTAAATACGAGGTTGTAATGTTACTAATATTGAAAAACCAAAGAAAAGTCTGAACGCTACAAATGGACAAGGAGGGCACTTAAGTTAATGAGGTTATGAAAGATAACACAGCGAGGGCAGGACTAATGCTCATTTATGTCACGGAGATTAAAAACATTCTTGGTCCTGTACCTTCTCCCTCCCAATAAGCACTCCTACCCTCAGAAACCCTCCTTCCCACGCATCTTAATGGGGAGAACTTGGGATCTTCCTGTCTCTTAAAATTCTGGTTGCTATACAATTCAGTTGAAGGACAGTAAAAACAGATTGTAAACTTTTGGTCACTCAATAATTCTCTTAAAATAGTTCTTCCTTACCGTCATATAATCAACTTCTTCAGGATGCTCAAAAGCAATAAATTCTTCAAGATTCAAACCAGGATCTGAATCTTGGTTAGCTTTTTCGAATCGTTTCTTGTCCTTTAAATGAAGCTTTGAAAATTAAATATTGAACATGTTTAAAGGCCTCATCCATAATACGTCATCATAAACAATACTTTGAAAAATACAAACTATGTGAAATCTAAAGTACATTTTCATATATTATCTTACTTTATCTTCACACCATCCTTTTGAAGGTTGTTTGGGCAAATAACAAATGTTGAAAGGCAGTGTAGAGTCAGGCCCCAGAGAGAGAGACTGAGATATGAATTCCAGCAATGCCACTTACTACTACTGTGCAACTGAAGGCAAACTGCTTAATCTCCCTTGTTCCCTCAACTATAAAATTGGCACAATCTGACACTAAAAATAAACCCATGGGACCACATCAAATTAAAAAGCTTCTGCACAGCAAAGGAAACCATCCACAAAATGAAAAGGCAACCTACGGAATGGGGGGAAAATATTTGCACATCATATATCTGGTAAGTTGGCTATATCCAAAATATATAAGGAACTCACACAACTCAATAACAAAAAAACAATCTGATGGAAAAATGAGCAGAAGGTCCAAACATTTTTCCAACGAGGATGTACATATGGCCAACAGACACGGGAAAAAGCTGTTCAACATCATTAATCACCACGAAAAGGCAAATCCAAACCACAGTGAGGTACCACCTCACACCTGTTAGAGCGGCTATTACCAAAAAAAAAGAAAAAAAATATTGTTCATGATGTAGAGAAAAAGGAACCCTCATGCACTGTTGGTGGGATTGTTAATTGATGCAGCCACTATGGAAAACAGTATGGAAGTCCCTCGAAAATTTAAAACAGAACTACAATATGATTCAGCAATTGCATTATTGGATATTTATCCGAAGAAAACAAAAACACTAAATCCAAAAGATACATATAAGCACCCCCATGTTCACTGCAGGATTATTCAGACATATTAAGTCAGACAGAGAAAGGCAAATACTGTATGATCACTCTTATATGTGGAACCTGAAAAAACAACCAAAACCAAAAACCTAGCAAACAGATACAGAAAACAGATGGGTGGTTGCCAGAGGTGCGCAGGGGTGGGAGAAACAAGTCAACTGTTTTGTTTTTTTAATAAATTGAATAATTTATAATTAAAAAAATAAAATCTCTATTAAGCAATAGGGATGAAAATTCCCATTAAACAATTAGTAAACCTTAAGTATTTCACAAAAGCTACAAATTACCATTATTGATTGAAAACCTGAGATTAAATGATTAAAGTATGTCAGAAATACAGCTTAAATATGTTGAACTTGGATCCCTTCTGCTTTTTCTACATACAGTACTACTCACTATCTTCTTTAACAATTAATCTCAATACTTCTGGAATGCCCAAAAAGCAATAAATTTAGACTATGCATTAATTCTTACTATGCCATTTTTAAGTTGTTTCTGGTCTTTGATTTCAAAAATATGTTAGGGTTTCCGGTCAGGATGGTGAAGTCTATATTGTGATAAATAAAATTGTAATACACACACACACAGGTTTGAGAAAAATAGTCCTCTTATGAGGACTATACTTTAGGTGCATGTACATATTTGGACGTCTGTTCTTAGTAGGCTCTTTATAGTACTATGTTCAGATATACACATATCAAAAGCCAAAATGGGCCTACTTTCAAATTAAATAAACACACCCATGTCTACTTTCTCACACCCATCTTTCTTATTTTTTGAAAGTACACTCAAGTAGGAAATCAATTAGGAGCTATTAGGGACAGGGCTACTTTTAATTAATTTTTCAAAGGTAATTATGTAATTAATCAAAAGCCTTGGAAGTCAATAGCGATATGCTGCTAATTCTGCATAAATCCTATTTAAAGAGTTTCTAAGAATAACTTTCCTTTCTATGAAGTGATGTGTATTGAACTGCACTTTTTTAAAAAGCACAATTTCAAATAATTTAGAAGCTTTTAATTCATGTGTTTCACTGTTGAAAAGAAATACTCGTTTTAGTTTTCTAGAATAATAGAAGTTAGGCGGCACACATTTACAAAGGCAGCTCACTTCTTCCCCAAAAGAAGTCATCTTTTAAATATTCAGATCCCACGGCCAGTTAGTTACACTCACCCAATTCTGACAGAAAAGAAAAAACAAACGTGTTTCCAAATAGCTGCTTTTAACTCAATGTTTCATAATTTTAAATAACTAGACCAAGTAATTTACGTTTTGTGTATGTTCAGGTTTAACATGGGGAAAAACAGGAGCTTGATGTACTTTGTGGAGTCAATCAATTTCTTTTTGAGTAACTACTCAAAATACTAAGTGCTTAGATTTCCTTATGAAAGAACCCTTGAATTTGGAGCAAAAAGATCCGTGTTTCACCAGAGGGAGCTGAATTTGGTCAAACTTGCCTATGAAGAAAGGATCTCTTTCAAACAACATTTCTTTTTCAAAAAAGTGGTTTTCTGGCTCACATGTCTCAACTTTTTAAAATAAATTGAAACAATGTGATTTTTTTTTTTTAATTTGGGAATTGGGGGAGGGGAACAGTGTTGGGGAATTGGGGAGGAGGATCCAGACAACTTGTTGTTCTTCAGTCTTTGTTGTGGAGGGCGCCAGTCACCATCTGGCTGCCTGTCGGCAGCTCGTGGCCTCTAAGCCCAAGGTGCCGTGTTACAATCTTAGTTGCGGGTGGGCGTAGCCACCATCCCGTGCGGGAGTCGAACCAGCAGCCTTGTTAAGAGCGCACGCTCTACCCACTGAGCCATCCGGGTGGCAGCTCAGCTCAAGGTGCCCGAGTTCCATCTTAGTTGCGGGTAGGCATAGCCCACCATCAAACAGGCAGTCTTGTTGTTAGGAGCACGTGCTCTCACCAGCTGAAGCCATCCTGCCACCTGTTGGCAGCTCAGCAGCAGCTCAGCTTGGGCGCAGCTCACTAGCCCATGTGGGAATTGAACCGGCGACCCTGTTGCTCAGAGCTCGCGCTCTTAATCCAACTCTTAACCAACTGGGCCACTCGGCCGGCCCAACAATGTGATTTTTTTTTTTAAAGTGGCTTTATTAACAGTAATTTGAAGAACACAATTTAAGAGCAACTCATTTCTAAAAGATAACAAAAAAAGACTGTCAGTTTTATAAGACCTCAACACTGTTTTCTAAAGTGTAAAAAACTTGTATTCCAGTGGAGGATAGAAAATGTAACATACAGTAGTCAAAAGATAAAAACTACCAATAATCACTTTTTTTTTTATTGTGACAAACTTGTGAGGAACAAACCTGCCGTGTTTTGGTAGGCTAATGATTTTACATGAGGAAATATATAATTTTGAAGTACAAAAGTATTGTACAAAAATAGCAGTTTCTCTCAAGATAGTCATTTGTCTTGAAAAGTTCTTTTAGTTACTAAAATCTTTCCTAAATATTGTCCTCAGCTCTGCTAAGAAGCATGTATCTAAATCAATTAAACCATGAGATACACTAGAACTCAGTAATACTGAATCTTCAAAAATAAGTTATTTTAAATGGTGTCACCACTATGGCAAACAGTATTGCAGTTCCTCACAAATTTAAAACTAGCATCACTATGCGATCCAGCAATTCCAATCCTACTTCTGGGTATGTACCCAAAAGAATTGAAAGCAGGGTCTCAAAGAGATATTTGTACACCCATGTTCACAGCAGCACTATTCACAGTAGCCAGAGCTGAAGCAGCCCAAGAGTCCATTTACAGATGAATGGATAAATATCAAATGTATACACATTTTAAGAAAGGAAAAAACTGTACTAAAATTACGCTGATGGTAACCACTTTTGAGCATCTCTTGTAATTGCAGAAGTCAAACGTAACTTGTATTCATCTTTCATTATTGGTATATATATTACAATTTTAATAGATTTTTCCTTTCTTAAAATGTGCATACATTTTCTTTGGCACCCTCTACATTTAATCCAATCTTTAAAGGGAAATTCTGACACGTTACAGCATGGATGAACCTTGAAGTTAGGTTAAGTGAAATAAGCTAGTCAAAAAAAAAAAAAAGACGAATGCTGCCTGCTCCCACATCTTTGAGGTGCCTGGAGTACTCAGATGCAGATACAGAATATGGTTGTCAAGGGCTGGAGAAGGGGAGATCAGAGCTGTTTAATAGGGTTAGAGTTTCAGTTTTGCAAGATGAAGAGTTATGGAGATTGGTTGCGTAACAATGTGAATGTCCTGAACACTCATGAGCTGCACTTAAAAGTGGTTAAAATGGTAAATTTTATGTTATGTATTTTGCCACAATTAAAAAATTTTTAAAGAGTTAATTTATATAAAACTGTGTTTAAAAATGGGACTGGGGGGCCGGCCGAGTGGCGCGATGGTTAAGAACTCGCTTGGGATGCCAGAGGGTCCCGGTTCGGATCCCACATATGAGGGCCAGTGACACTGCCCTCTACAGCTAAGATGCTGAACAACAGCTCAACCTGGAGCTGGGCTGCCGTGAGTCGCT